TGGGCAACATGGCGAAACCTCATCTCTACAAAAAATATGAAAATTAGGCCAGTCACAGTGCTCATACCTGTAATCCCAGCGCTTTGGGAGGCCAAGGCAGAAGGATCCCTTGAGTCCAGGAGTTCGAGACCGGCCTGGGAAACATGGTGAGACCCAGTTTCTACAAAAAAATACAAAAATTAGCCAGGCCAAAGTGGCATGTGCCCGTGGTCCCAGCTACTTGGGAGGCTGAGGCGGGGGGATTGCTTGAGCCCTGGAGGCAGAGGTTGCAGTGAGCCGAGATCAAGCCACTGCACTCCAGCCTTGTTGACAGAGTGATACCCAGTCTCCAAAATTAATTAAATTAAAGATTAATTGGGCTTTGGGGTACATACCTGTGGTCCCAGCTACTTGGGAGGCTGAGGCGGGAGGATCGCTTGAGCCCAGGAAGTTAAGGCTGCAGTGAGCTATGATCACACCACTGCACCTCCGCCTTGGTGACAGAGGAAGACTCAGTCTCTAAATAAATATATATATATACACACACATATATGTATATATGGAAGAGACTTCTGCAGATTAAAGGTGACTAAGATATATGACAACCAAATGCACTAAGTGAAAGTACATTATATCCTAGATTTTTTATTTTTGTTATTTTTAAACTATTTTATTTTATTTATTATTTTTTTTTTTTTTGAGACGAAGTCTTGCTCTGTCGCCCAGGCTGGGGTACAGTGGCGCGATTTCGGCTCACTGCAAGCTCTGCCTGCCTGCAAGCTCCACCTCCCAGGTTCACACCATTCTGCCTCAGCCTCCTGAGTAGCTGGGACTACAGGCTCCCACCACCACACCCAGCTAATTTTTGTATTTTTAGTAGAGATGGGGTTTCACCATGTTAGCCAAGATGGTCTCGATCTCCTGACCTCGTGATCTGACCGCCTTGGCCTCCCAAAGTGCTGAGATTACAGGCGTGAGCCACCGTGCCTGGCCAATATTTTTAAAAAAAATGTGAGATGGAGTCTCACTGTGTCGCCCAGGCTGGAGAGCAGTGGCACGATCCTGGGTCACTGCAACCTTCACCTTCTGGGCTCAAGTGATTCTTCTGCCTCAGCCTCCCCAGTGGCTGGGTTACAGATGTGCACCACCATGCCCAGCTAATTTTTGTATTATTTTTTCTTTTTTTTAGTAGAGACGGGGTTTCACCATGTTGGCCAGGCTGGTCTCGAACTCCTGACCACAGGCGATCCACCCACCTCGGCTTCCCCGAGTGCAGGGATTACAGGTGTGAGCCACCACGTCCAGCCCCGTATACTATTGCAATTTTTTTGTAGCTTTGAAATTTTGCAAAATAAAAAGTTGGGGAAACAAAGCACCCTCCCTCCTTCCCATATGTTCTTCCAGCTGCCATCATTTCACCTTCTGTGTACAGTGAATATTCCTGGGAAGAGTCTGTGTCCTGTGTCCCTGCATTCTCATTCCTGGTGAAATGTTTAATAACTGGCTCACCAGAGAAACAAACCAACCAGAGAGCTCCTGACTTGGAGTATTTGCCAATTCCTGTGGTGTAAATTCTCCCACCACTTGTGGTTGATTTGCTTGTAGCTGATTGCAAGCTACAAACATGGCATCATCAAACAGAATTGGTACACAATGCAGTGACTCACATAATATAGTATTTCCAGCACACAGACATCATATATGTGAATAACTCCAAGATCAGCCAGGTGCAGTGGCTCGTGCCTGTAACCCCAGCACTTTGGGAGGCCGAGGTGGGAGGATCGAGTGAGCCCAGGAGTTTGAGACCAGACTAGGCAACATAGCAAGACTCCATCTCTACAAAAAAGATTATTTATTTATTTATTTATTTACTTATCTGAGACGGAGTCTCGCTCTGTCCCTCAGGCTAGAATGCAGTGGTGCAATCTTGGCTCACTGCAACCTCCACCTCCCAGGTTCAAGCGATTCTCCTGCCTCAGCCTCCGGAGTAGCTGGGATTACAGGCATGCACCACCACATCCGGCTAATTTTTGTATTTTTAATAGAGATGGGGTTTCACCACATTGGCTGGGCTGGTCTCAAACTCCTGGCCTGAAGTGATCCACCCATCTCGGCCTCCCAAAGTGCTGGGATTATAGGTGTGAGCCACCGCGCCCAGCCTGTCTTTACAAAAAATTTATAAAGTAGCCAGGCTCTGTGGCTTGTGCTGGTCATCCCAGCACTTTGGGAGGTCAAGGTGGGAGGATCACTTGAGCCCAGGAGTTCGAGACCAGCCTGTGCAACATAGAGAGACCCTGTCTCTACAAAAAACCACAAAAATCTGTCGGGCGTGATGGTGCATGTCTGTAGTCCCAGCTACTGGGGAGGCTGAGGTGGGAGGATCACTTGAGCCTGGAAGGTCGAGGCTACAGTGAGCTGTGCTGGTGCCACTACACTCCTGCCTGGGCAATAGAGTGAGACTCTGTCTCCAAACAAAAACAAAAACCCTCAAAAGCATAGATAATAGTAACATGTAGCAGCGTAATTAGGAAGTGATAAATTTTGTGTATTTATTACGTTTGTTTTAATATAATCTATTTGATCATAAGTTTATACAATTAATTGTTTACACATTGGCCGTGTTTAGCAAGAGGTTTTGAATTCTTGAAGATGTGCCAGCTGGCTCTTGTGAGTCAGTGCAAGCTGGCTCCAGCACGCATCTGTAAAACCATCTCCACTCATTGAAATCTGCCTCCCGGGCCCACCACTCAACCAAAACCCCCCTTGCTCATCTCACCAATGACCTTCATATTGCAAAATGCAAATGGCGGTGGCTACATTTCTGTTCTTGCCTTGCCTGAACTGTGTAGCACTCGCCTCTGCTGCTTCCATCTGCCTTCTCCAAGTTCCTCCAGATCGTCTTCCTTTTTTTTTTTCTTTGAGATGGAGTCTTGCTTTGTCGCCCAGGCTGGAGTGCAGTGGTGCGATCTCAGCTCACTGCAACCTCCGCCTCCAGGGTCCAAGCAATTATCCTGCTTCAGCTTCCCAAGTAGTTGGGACTACAGGCGCCCGCCAGCACAGCCGGCTAATTTTTTGTATTGTTAGTAGAGATGGGGGTTCACCATGTTAGCCAGGATGGTCTTGCTCCCCTGACCTCATGATTTGCCCACCTCAGCCTCCCACAGTGCTGGGATTACAGGCATGAGCCACCGTGCCCCGCCTTGAGAAAGAGTTTCACGCTTGTTGCCCAGGCTGGAGTGCAATGGTGTGATCTCGGCTCACTGCAACCTCCATGTCCCAGGTTCAAGCGATTCTCTTGCCTCAGCTTCCTGGGTAGTTGGGATTATAGGCGTGCACCACCATGCCCGGCTAATTTTTTATTTTTAGCAGAGACGGGGTTTCACCATGTTGGTCAGGCTGGTCTTGAACTCCTGACCTCAAGTGATCCACTGGCCTCGGCCTCCCAAAGTGCTGGGATTACAGGAGTGAGTCACTGTGGCCAGCCTCCCACTTCTTTTTGTTTTTGAGATGGAGTCTCGCTCTGTCACCCAAGCTGGAGTGCAGTGGCAGGATCTCAGCTTACTGCACGCTATGCCTCCCAGGTTCATGCCATTCTCCTGCCTCAGCCTCCCAAGTAGCTGGGACTACAGCCACCATGCCTGGCTAATTTTTTTGTATTTTTAGTAGGGACAGGGTTTCACCATGTTAGCCAGGATGGTCTCGATCTCTTGACCTCATGATCCACCCACCTTGGCCTCCCAAAGTGCCCCCTCCTTTTTTTGAGACAGAGTCTTGCTCTGTTGCCCAGGCTGGAGTGCAGTGGAGCAATCTTGGCTCACTGCAACCTCTGCCTCCCAAGTTCAAGTGATTTTCATGCCTCAGCCTCCTGAGTAGCTAGGATTACAGGCGTGTGCCACCACGCCCAGCTAGTTTTTGTACTTTTTGTAGAGACACGGTTTCTCAGTGTTGCCCAGGCTGGTCTCGAACTCCTGACCTCCAGTGATCCACCTGCCTTGACCTTCCAAAGTGCTGAGTTTACAGGCATGAGCCACTGCATCTAGCCCACACCTGGCTAATTTTTGGATTTTTGGTAAAGACAGGGTTTTGCATTGTTCCCCAGGCTGGTCTGGAATTCCTGGGCTCAAGCAATTCACCTACCTCAGCCTCCCAAAGTGCTGAGAATACAGGCATGAGCCACTGCGCCCAGCCCCCTCCAGGTCCTCTTTCTGTTGGACAGTCTTGCCCAGGCTCCTGGAAGGGCTCTTAATAAAGAAATTGTTTTTTAGAGATGGAGGTCTCGAGTGGGCATGGTGGCTCACACCTGTAATGCCAGCACTTTGGGAGACCGAGGCGGGAGGATCACCTGAGGTTGGGAGTTCGAGACCAGCCTGACCAACATGGAGAAAGCCAGTATCTACTAAAACACAAAATTAGCTGGGTGTGGTGGCGCATGCCCGTAATCCCAGCTGGGATTCTGAGGCAAGAGAATCACTTGAACTTGGGAAGCAGAGGTTGCGGTGAGCCAAGATCACACCATTGCACTCTAGTCTGCGCAACAAGAGCAAAACTCCATCTCAAAAAAAAAAAAAAAAAAAAAAAAAAAAGAGATGGAGGTCTCATGCTGTCTCCCAGGGTGGAGTGCAGTCGCGTGATCATAGCTCACTGCAGCCTCCAACTGATGGGCTCAAGTGATCCTCCCACCTCAGCCTCCTGAGTAGCTGGGATTCCAGGTGAGAGACACCATGCTTGGCTTACTTTTTATTTTTGTAGAGATGGGGTCTTGTTATGTTGCCCAGACTGGTCTGGAACTCCTGGGCTCAAATGATGCTCCTGCCTCAGGCTCCTGAGTTGCTGGGAATTATAGGACTGAGACGCGGATCCTGGATTAAAGGACTCTTCTATCTCCACTTTATCTCTGGGTCTTTGACACGCTCATATGACACCCTGCCTCTGGCTGTTCAATGCTGTAGCTCCCCTCCCCTCTTTCCTTCCTCCCTCCCTGCCTGCCTTCCTCTCTCTCTGTCTCCCTCCCTCCCTTCTTTTTTTTTTTTTTTTTTTTGACACAGGGTCTCTCTCTGTTGCCTAGGCTGGAGTGTAGTGGCACAATCACGGCTCACTACAGCCTTAATTTCCCGGGCCTCAGCGATCCTTCCATCTCAGCCTCCTGAGTATCTGCGACTACAAGCACGTGCTACCACACCAAGCTAATGTTTTGTATTTGTTGTAAAGATGAGGTCTCACTATGTTGCCCAGGCTGGTCTCAAACTCTTGGGCTCAAGAGATCCTCCCGCCTCAGCGTCCCAAAGTGCTGGGATTATAGGCATGAGCCACTGGGCCCGGCCGAACTCCGTACTTTCAACCACAACTAAGAATCCATATTTCTAGCCCAGACCTTATTCTCAGCAACACACCTGTGTACACCAACTGCTTAGTTTGCTCCTCTTGGCATCACGACATCTCCAACAAAGCCAGAGTGGAAACCCTCATCTCTTACTCCCACCTTGAGGGGGAGCTCCTGAGATGGAGAACACAGGTCTGTCCAGCCCAGAAGCCAGGAATGCATGCCCTCCGGGGCCAAGCTGCCTCCCTTTGAAAGAATGAAGTCCCATAAACCCATATCACAGGTTAATAATGCAAAAGGACTGGGCGGGATAGCTCACGCCTGTGATCCCAGTGACTCAGAGGCTGAGGCAGGAGGATCGCTTGAGCTTGGGAATTGGAGGCTGCCATGAGTTAGATTACGACACTGCACTCTAGCCTGGGTGACAGAGCAAGGCTCTGGTTCTTAAAACAAAAACAAAAAACAAAAACGGCTCCAATAAGGTAAACAGCAGCAGCAACATACATTAACTCTCCCAGGGGACCAACCCTCCTCATCACCGGATTGCATGGCCATGTTAAAATACCGCCACTTGGTGGCGGCATTCTTCGAATGGAAAATAGCATCTGAGATGCTGAAATGACAAAGGCCTGGGCTGCTTCGGGTCAGAGAGTGTCAATTCACACTGAATCGAAGTAGGACTGGACCACAGTCAGCCTACTCTCAGCTTTCCCTTCTTATTCGGGGTCAAAACCAACAGGCGTCTTCCCAAAGCGCCGCACAAGAGTGGGCTCCTTCGTTTTCCTGGAGCAACTCACTTGCTGGTATCTCAGTCATTGTCAATCAGTCAGTCATTGCAGGGACAGCCATAGACAATTACTCTCGAGCTGGTCCGCCGGTCAATCAGAATCCAATCGAATCCGTTCTTGTGGTCGGTGGATCCACGAGCCTGTACCACCTGCCACCAGCGCCCGGCGCGTTCTGTAGCGGAATCACCGCAGGTGACGGAATCCACGCCCCTGGGCTCCGCCCCTTCGTAGTCGCGCCCAATCACAGATCTGACCCTCCCAGGAGGGCCCGTCCCCCGGCCCACAGCCAGTCACAGGCCCCGTCCTTCCAAAACACTGCCCTATCAGAGGCCAAGCTCTCTAGGAATTACCTACCCTTTTAATGTCCCGCCCCTATGACGGACCCAATCGCAGGGCTCTCCCTCCCCGAAACCCCGCTCCCAGACCGGCGTGTCTCAGGTTTGCGCCACTCTAGGCTGAAGCGGCGGATGACGCAACCGGGCCGCGCCGCGAGAAGGTCACACGGTTCTCCAACATGGCGGCGGCGGCGGCGCTGCGGAGTGGCTGGTGCCGCTGTCCACGGGTGAGCGGCGGTGCAGTGCTAGCAGGGCGGGCTTAGAGGTCTTCTGGGCCTTCGGCCACCAAGGCTTTCTTCTCAGGCCCTTGGCCCTCGCGACCCTTGCTTGGGCTCCGTAGAAAGCTTGGGGTTGGATCGTTGGGTCAGCAGAGGCCAGGACAGGGGGCACAGAGCGTGGCCTGAGGGCGGGGACAGAGCTTACCGGGCAGGGGGCGGCGATGCGCGGAGCCTGGGAGGGAGCTGATCACCCTTCGCCCTCTGATCAGACTCCACGTGTACAGGAGAGTGAATGGTCGCCAGGGCGGCGGCGTCTGGTGGAAAAAAGTAGAGGGGAAGGCAAAAAAACGTGAACTTCACAGCTCTCGGTTAACTGCCAGGTCCGCTACCGAGAGCATTTCTTGTCTCGTTTCTTCTAACGTTCATTGTGGACGTGCGAGAGGTGGTTCACGCCCTGGCAGGCTCTTAGGTCCACAGGGCAGTGGGAGTCAAGACATGTAAGGCGCACTCAGAAAGTAGTACTTCAAATTGCTCGTGCTCTTCGTTTTTTCTTCTTCTTTTTATTTGTTTATTTTTTTTGAGACGGAGTTTCGCTCTTGTCGCCCAGTCTGGAGTGCAATGGCGCGATCTCGGCTCACTGCAACTTCTGCCTCCCGGATTCAAGCGATTCTCCTGCCTCAGCCTCAGGTGGATCACCTGAGGTCAGGAGTTCGAGATCAACTGGCCAGCATGGTGAAATCCCGTTTCTACAAAAACCCCATCTCTACTGAAAATACAAAATTAGCCGGGCGTGGTGGTGCATGCCTGTAATCCCAGCTACTCGGGAGGCTGAGGCAGGAGAATCGCTTGAACCCGGGAGGCGGAGGTTTCAGTGAGCCAAGATCATCCCACTTTACTCCAGCCTGGGTGACAGAGGGAGACTCCGTCTCAAAAAAAAAAAAAAAAAAAAAAAAAAAATTATCCTCAAGTAAATGCAGGAGATGGTAGGCACCTGTGTAAGTTTGGGATGTTCCATGGGGTTCTCAGAGGTAGGAGGCAGAGAACAGAGAGAAAAACGGCCCAGGAAATGTGGAAATGGTGGAGAAGTTGTATGTGGTCTTTTGACATCAACACGCCAGGTTCAGGTGCCGAGTTGAACAGGACCTTCACAGAGCTTTTTTTTAACCCCCAGTTTTTTGTGGAGGCAGGGTCTTGCTATGTTGCCCAGGCTGGTCTCAAACTCCTGAGCTCAAATGATCCTCCCGCCTCAGCCTCCCAAAGTATCGGGATTACAGGCATGAGCCACCAGCTCAGTGCCTGCACAGAACTTAAAGTTCATCATTTGGTAGGAGAATAAAGTGCCTTTTACTTTTATTTGATTTTTTTTTTCTGAGACAGAGTCTAGATCTGTCGCCCAGGCTGGAGTGCAGTGGCATGATCTCGGCTCACTGCACCCTCTGCCTCCCGGGTTTAAGCAATACTCCTGCCTCAGCCTCCCAAGTAGCTGAGACTACAGGTGTGTGCCACCACGCCCGGCAAATTTTTGTATTTTTGGTAGAGACGGGATTTCACCATGTTGGCCAGGCTGATCTCGAACTCCTGGCTGGGTGATCCACCCGCCTCAGCCTCCCAACGTGTTGGGGTCACAGGCATGAGCCACCACACTCGGCCAGCAAGTGCCTTTTACATGAGGTCAGCCAAGTCTTTGCCCAGAGTGACTCCCCTAAATTACTCTGTTTATAGCCCAACCCTTGAGGGGGACATTGTAGGTTTATTCCAGAGTTGTCCCTGGGGACATTATCGATGTTTGTGTCTGAAAATCCAGTTCTCTCATCTTTGGAGGCTGGCAGAGATGGGGTGGGCTCACAAGAGAAGACTGCTTGCCACTAGCATAGAAGCTTAGAGTGCCTACTTTCAGACTAAGAAATTAAATTGTACTGGTACATTTAGCCTTCTTCCCCACCATGGGTTGGCATTTCCTGGGACCTATTTTCCCCCAGTTTCAGGGGCACGAGGATAGATATAGGCCCTGGAGGTACACACACAGCATTTTCTCTTTCCACCAGCTTCTACTTGCTTCTCAGACTTTGGGAAGATTACAGAGTGCCTGGCACGCATCAGGCATAAGATAAAAATTGGCCAATGAGGCCAGGTGCGGTGGCTCATGCCTGTAATCCCAGCACTTTGGAAGACTGGGGGAGGGGGTGGATCACTTGAGGTCAGGAGTTCGAGACCAGCCTGGCCAACATGGCAAAAACCCTTCTCTCCTAAAAATACAAATATTAGCCATGTGTGATGGTGCATACCTGTAATTCCAGCTACTCAGGAGACTGAGGCAGGAGAATCGCTCAAACCCGGGAGATAGAGGTTGCAGTGAGCCGAGATCATATCACTGCACTCCAGCTTGGGCAACAGACTGAGACTCTGTCTCAAAAAAAAAAAAAAAAAAAAAATTGGCCAGTGAGTCGCAGGCGACCCCTGCTGTTTTGTGTGTGGTCTGCTTACTTCTTGGTCAGCCTCTTGTTAGAATGGATGTTTCTCGTCTCTTCCCCCCATTAGAGATGCCTCGGCAGTGGAATCCAATTCCTTTCCAGCCACAACCTACTCCACGGGTCGACCTATCAGATGCGCCGGCCGGGCGGAGAGCTGCCACTGGTAAGTGACTGAGGATGCTCAGGCCAGCAGACACAGGGGAGGCCTGAAAATTCCGATCCCATTGGCAGGAGGGAGGTTGTGGGGCGGTGGAGGTGGCTCACACCATCTCAGTGGTGGGCCTTGTGTGTCTGGGGCCTTCTGAATGACAGATCCCAGCGTGCCTGGCCTTCTCGGTCGCAGAAACACTTGACCTGCCTCTTGCTTGATGTCATGAGGGGATAAGGTGCTGTCAGAATAGCCCGTTGTGTTGGCTGTAATGCTTGGAGGAGACCCTTGTATTGAACTGAATTCTGCTTCCCTGTGACCTCTGCCAGTGGGTGCCTCACCAAGCATGGCTATTTCCTTTCCTGGAAGATAGCCCTTTGATCATTGGTACAGTCACCTCGTCACACCCAGAACTCAGTTTATCCTGGTCACTCCTCTTCAACTGTGCTTCTGTTGGTGTCTCAGCATCATGAGGACAGAAGCCCAAAACCTGACTCCCTTCCCCAGATCGGTACATTTGGGCAGCGCACACATTCTCTCTCTCTCTCTCTCTCTCTCTCTCTCTCTCTCTCTCTCTCTGTCTCTCTCTGCGCGCCCAGAGCCTCAGCTCAGCTGCCTCTTCGCAGGCAGCTACCTACCTCTCCAGTCCCGTCCTGGGGCCATCGTGGGTATGGGACAGGACCTGTGACTCTTCCCTTACTTGTCCAGTCCCCCGCCACACACACACACTCCCATGGTTTGTAGCCCAAGAGTCTCTGGTAGGGCTGCCATAAGGTTGTGTGATCCTGGATGGTCTTACTTAGAACTTGGGCTTCCCCTGGAAAAAGGCTAGCCAGGGTGGCATCTGAATGGGACTGCAGCCTGCTGACAGGAGGCCTGGCCACCTGTCCTGGGGAGCAGCACTGGGCTTTTTTTTTTTTTTTTAAAGACAGGGTCTCACTCTGTGGCCCAGGCTGGAGTGCAGTGGCACTATCACGGCTCACTGCAGCCTTGAACTCCTGGGCCTAAGTGATCCTCCCACCTCAGCCTCCTGAGTAGCTGGAACCACAGCTGTGTGACTCCACACCTGAGCACCAGGCTGGATGCGGCTTTCTCTTGTAGCTTGACAGGAGCCAGGGAGGGGATCCCTGGCTTGGAGCTGGTATACCCAACACAGCTGTGGAAACGTTGACCACAGGTGGCCACTTCCCCGATTTGATTATCGTATGATCATTCATTAAACTGTTTCTCTGTTTTGTTTTGTTTTGTTTTGTTTTTTGAAACAGAGCCTCACTCTGTCATCCAGGCTGGAGTACAGTGGCAAGATCTCGGCTCACTGCAACCTCCACCCCCAGGTTCAAGCAATGCTCCTGCCTCCGCCTCCTCAGTAGCTGGGACTACAGGCACTCACCACCACACCTGGCTAATTTTTGTATTTTTAGTAGAGACGAGGTTTCACCATGTTGGCCAGGCTTGTCTTGGACTCTTGGCCTCAAGTGATCCGCCCACCTGGGCCTCCCAAAGTGCTGGGATTACAGGCGTGAAATACTGTGCCCAGCCTGCCTTTTTTTTTTTTTTTTTTTTTTTTTGAGATGGAGTCTCATTCCATCGCCCAGGCTGGAGTACAGTGGCGTGATCTTGGCTCACTGCAGCCTCTGCCTCCCATGTTCAAGCAGTTCTCCTGCCTCAGCCTCCCGAGTAGCTGGGATTACAGGCACCCACTACCACACCAAGCTAATTTTTGTATTTTTAGTAGAAACGGGGTTTCCCTGTGTTGGTTAGGCTGGTCTGGAACTCCTGACCTTAAGTGATTCGCCCACCTTGGCCTCCCAAAGTGCTGAGATAACAGGCGTGAGTCACCGCACCCAGCCTTGATTTGCTTTTACAAGGCTTTATCTTTTTGAGCAGTTTTAGGTTTACAGAAAAATCGAACAGAATGTCCAAAGAGTTGCCATGCCCCTCCTCTCCCATCCAGCACACAGTTTTCTATTCTTCACCTCCTGCATTAGTGTGGCGCATCTGTTACAATTGACTGGATGTTGATACATTATTATTAACAAACGCATAGTTTACCTTCTGGTTCCCTCTTAATGGTGTAGGTTCTCTGTGTGGCCATGATTACAGTATCATAATAGTTGTTTCACTGCCCTAAAATTTTTCTGTGTTCCCCCCACTCATCTCAGCCTCTCCCTGCCAACCCCTGGCAACCACTGATCTTTTACTGTCTCCAGAGTTTTGCCTTTTCCAGAATGTTCTATAGTTGGAATCAGACAGTATGTAGCCTTTTCAGATTAGCTTCTTTCACTTACTGTGATATGCATTTAAGGTTCTTCTATGTCTTTTCACAGCTTGAGAGCATATTTCTTGTTTTTATTATTATTATTATTATTATTTATTTTTGAGATGGAGTCTCGCTCTGTCCCCCAGGCTGGAGTGCAGTGGCACCATCTTGGCTCACTGCAGGCTCCACCTCCTGGGTTCACGCCATTCTCCTGCCTCAGCCTCCCAAGTAGCTGGGACTACAGGTGCCCGCCACCACACCCGGCTAATTTTTTGTATTTTTAGTAGAGATGGGGTTTCACCATCTTAGCCAGGATGGTCTCAATCTTCTGATCTCGTGATCCCCCCACCTCGGCCTCCCAAAGTGCTGGGATTACAGGCATGAGCCACCGGGCCCAGTCTTTTTTAAAAATTATTTTATTTTATTTTATTTTATTTTATTTGAGATGGAGTCTCACTCTGTCACCCAGACTGGAGTGTAGTGGCATAATCTTGGCTCACTACAGCCTCTTCCTCCCGGGTTCAAGCAATTCTCGTGCCTCAGCCTTCTGAGTAGCTGGGACTAAAGGCACACACCACCATGCCCGGCTAACTTTTGCATTTTTAGTAGAGATGAGGTTTTACCATTTTGGCCAGGCTGGTCTCAAACTCCTTACCTCAGGTAATCTGCCCACCTCAGCCTCCTAAAGTACTGGGATTACAGGCGTGAACCATCGCGCCCGGCCTGTTTTTTAAATAGGGTGTTCTGTTGCCTAGGTTAGTCTCAAACTCATGGCCCCAAGCAGTCCTCCCTCTTCAGCCTCCTAAAGTGCTGGTATCACAGGTGTGAGTCACTGCACCTGGCTGAGAGCTCATTTTTTTTTTCAGCACTGAATAATATTCTATTGTCTGGATACACCACCCTTTTATCACCTGCTGTTTCTTTGTCTTTTATTATTATTATAAAAGAGATAGCTAATCATCATTAAATGTATATCAACAGAAAAGAGAACATCTAGAAAAATCCCTCAGAGTCCCTCTGTGGGGCAGTTCATTGTATGTTCTTCTAGTATGTTCTTTAAATATTTTTTCTTGTACATTCTTTCTAGTCCAAATCATATTCTTCTGGAAACAGAAAAGGCTTTCTGTCCGGCTTGCTAGATAATGTCAAACAAGAATTAGCCAAAAACAAAGAAATGAAAGAAAGTATTAAAAAATTCCGTGACGAGGCCAGAAGGCTAGAAGAATCAGACGTGCTCCAGGAGGCCAGAAGGAAATACGTGAGTTTCTTTGCTGCTTTTTTTTTCCCCCAACCTAGGCTGGAGTGTAGTGGGGCGATCTTGGCTCACTGCAACCTACGCCTCCCAGGTTCAAGTGATTTCCCTGCTTCAGCTTCCTAAATAGCTGGGCTTACAGGCATGCACCACCACGCCCGGCTAATTTTTGTATTTTTAGTAGAGACGGGGTTTCACCATGTTGGCCAGGCTGGTCTCGAACTCCTGACCTCAAGTGATCCGCCCTCCTAAGCCTTCCAAAGTGCTAGGATGACAGGTGTGAGCCACCGCATTAGGCCCCTTTGCTTCTTACCTTTCTTGGTTGACATGTTTGTTTCCAGGGCCAGGGTTTCTCCAGGCCAGGGACAGCCAGAGGAGCTCAGAGCTGGACGGCTGGGGACAGGGTGGCTTGTGAGGAAGTGAGGTCACTGCTCTGATGCACTAGTAAGAGGGAGCCAGGGGACAGGAGCGGGTCTCCAGGCCTCTGGGTTCTGCCATGCGACCATGCAGCGTTCTGTACAGCTTGAAGCATGGTCCCCAGACCAGCAGCAGTGGCTGCTCCTGGGAGGGGATGAGCAGTGCAGAGGCTCACACCCTCCTAAACTGCCAGGCCAGCACCTGCATCTTCACAGGCCCCCAGGCACTTCATGCACACCAGCTTTGGGCTGCAGCACTCCCGAGAGCTCCCAGCTGTAGCCCTCTGAGTGGAGCCGGGTGGAAACTGGGTGATGGCGCTGGTATTTTATTTTATTTTATTTTGTTTTATTTTATTTTATTTTATTTAATTTTATTTTATTTCGTTTTGTTTTGTTTTATGAGATGGAGTCTTGCTGTGTCACCCAGGCTGGAGTGCAGTGGCGCCATCTTGGCTCACTTCAACCTCTGGCTCCTGGGTTCAGATGATTCTCCTGCCTCAGCCTCCCAGGTAGCTGGGATTACAGGCGCCCGCCACCACACCGAGCTGATTTTTTGTTGTTGTTGTTTTTTGAGACAGTCTTACTCTGTTGCCCAGGCTGGAGTGCAGTGGTACGATTTGGCTCACCACAACCTCTGCCTCCTAGGCTCAAGCAATTCTCCTGCCTCAGCCTCCTGCGTAGCTAGGATTACAGGCACGTACCACTACCACCCAGCTAATTTTTGTATTTTTAGTGTTTCACCATGTTGGCCAGGCTGGCCTTGAACTCCTGACCTCAAATGATCCACCTGCCTTGGCCTCCCAGAGTGTTGAGATTACAGGCGTGAGCCACCGCGCCCAGCCCTGTATTTCTTTTTGTAGAGATGGGATTTCTTCACCATGTTGGCCAGGCTGGTCTCAAACTCCTGGCCTCAAGTGATCTGCCCGTCTCAGGTTCCCAAAGTGCTGGGATTACGGGCGTGAGCCACTGCTCCCAGCCTGTGATTATTAATTGTGACTTCTCTTCTTGAGCAGCTGCCAAGCCCTGGCTTCTGGGAATGGCTCTGCGTTCCTTTATTTGTAAGGGCCCTGCGAGGCGGGTACCGTGTCCCATCTTAGCAGTGAGCGCTGAGCCTCGGAGATGCACCTGCCACGGGACCCGTGGAATTTGGTTTGGTTTGGTTTAGTTTGTGGTTTTTTTTGTTTGTTTTTTGTTTTTCTCTTTTGAGATGGAGTTCCGCTCTGTCACCCAGGCTGGAGTGCAGTGGTTCGGTCTCAGTTCACTGCAACCTCTGCCTCCCTGGGTTCAAGCGATTCTCCTGCCTCAGCCTCTCGAGTAGCTGGGATTAGAGGCGTGTGCCACCACGCCCGGCTAATTTTTGTGTTTTTAGTAGACATGGGGTTTCATCACGTTGGCCAGGCTGGTGTTGAACTCCTGACCTCAGGTGATTCATCCACCTTGGCCTCCCAGAGTGCTGGGATTACAGGCATGAACCACCGTGCCCAGCCTAGTTTGGTTTTTTGAGACAGGGTCTTGCTCTGTCACCCTGGCTGGAGTGCAGTGGTGTGATCACAGCTTACTGCAGTCCTGACCTTCCCATGTTCAGGTGATTCTCCCACCTCAGCCTCCTGAGTAGCTGTGACTAAAGGCATGGGATACCACATCTGGCTAATTTTTTTATGTTTCTAGAGACAGGGTCTCTCCATGTTGCCTGTGCTGGTCTCGAACTCCTGGGCTCAAGTGATCCTCCCATCTCAGCTTCCCAAAGAGCTGGGACTACAGCTCACATGCCCAGCCCTTCTTTATCATGAATGCAGGGGTCATCTGAAGACAGAGCAGGCTGAGTTTGGAGTGGGATGGATGGGGCGGGAGACGTAAGACCAAGCTGTGGTGGCTGGAGGCTGGATGAGGGGCACGGTGATGACAAGCAAGGCCACCTCCTACCACTGAGTGAAAGGCGAAGGCTGGGCCTCCTGTTCTCAGGTGGTAGCTGCCAAGCAGGGGCCCGAGTCTGCCGGCCTCTGGGCACGGAGCTTACCATTGCAGAGACCCTCAATCCAAGCCATATGGGCAGCCGGGGGCCCTGGAGGCAGCGCGTGCTGGCAGGTGCGGGGACGGAGGGGCTGCTGAGAAAATGCCTCTTGGACCTTTGGCTATAAGAGAAATGTCACTGCCGTGTCAGAACACACAGACTTAAAGACACAATGCTTGGTCAGGCACAGTGGCTCACGGCTGTAATCCCAGCACTTTGGGAGGCCAAGGCAGGTGGATCACTTGAGGTTAGAAATTTGAGACCAGCCTGGCCAACGTAGTAAAACCCTGTCTACTGAAAATACAAAAATTAGCCAGGCATGGTGGCGGGCCCTGTAATCCCAGCTACTTGGGAAGGTAGGGCAGGAAAATCACTTGAACCTGGGTGGAGGAGGTTGCAGTGAGCTGAGGTCATGCCACTGCACTCCAGTCTGGGCAACGGAGTGATACGTCATCTCAAAAAAAAAAAAAAAAAAGGACACAATGCTCTTTACCTAGAAAACCATCGAGTCAGAAACCATGCGGACGAGCGAGGTGCTACGGAAGAAGCTTGGGGAGCTGACGGGCACCGTGAAGGAGGTAACAGTGCCATGCCTGCCTGGAGCTGCTGGGGCCATCAAAGTCCCCCGGCCGCTGGAGGCTGGAGGAAGAGTGGGATCCTGGGTGGGGGCGGCTTGGCAGCAGTGGGTGGCATGGGGCGTGCTGCCACCCTCGTGAAGGTTTCAGGAGTTCTGGGCACACGCAGGGTGAGGTCAGACTGGGAACCTTGCATGACAGTTGACCCAGTAAGTCGGCAGCAGTAAGTGCTACTAGCCAGGACTCGAGGAGAACATGAAAATGTTTTTCCTGCCTAAAAATAGGAGGGGAGGGGCCGCTTCCACCGCCTCCCGAGGGTAGAGGCAGGAGCGAGGATTCCTGGGGTGCTGCGGGCTCTCCTCTGTTGCCTGTTCTGTCCAACTTTGTCCAGCATGGGGCGCCCTGCCCGCCCTTCTTTCCCTGGGATCCCCTCCTTGGGAATCCTTGCTGCCACGCAGTTCCCGGGTCTCCAGAGGACTCCTCCCCATTTTGGAGAGGGGCCAGTTGACCCAGCGTCTCAGTCAGAGCCCAGGGGCCAGCACCCGGAAGCCATGGCGGTGTTCTCACGGCTCTGGGGGTTCCCCGCACCACAGGAGCACAGAAGGCCTCTGCCGGCCTCAGGGAGCCAGATCTGCCCTTCTCTCTGGCAGGAATTAATTCCTTCTGCCCACCCCCTGCCCCCGGGGCCGGTGCCAATGCCCCCTCTCTGTGTCTGTCTCAGTAGAGCCTTCATGAAGTCAGTAAAAGTGATCTGGGCCGGAAAATCAAGGAGGGTGTGGAAGAAGCAGCCAAGACAGCCAAGCAGTCAGCCGAGTCGGTATCCAAAGGTGGGGAGAAGCTGGGCAGGACGGCGGCCTTCAGAGCCCTCTCCCAGGTGAGCCCAGGCCTGGGCCAGGGCGTGCAGCCTGGGGCGGCTGAACCCCAGACACCCAGCCCAGCCCCGCTGTGCCTCCCTCGCAGGGGGTGGAGTCGGTGAAGAAGGAAATTGACGACAGCGTCCTGGGGCAGACCGGGCCCTACCGGAGGCCGCAGCGACTCCGGAAGAGAACGGAGTTTTCGGGAGAGAAGTTCAAGGAGGAGAAAGTGTTTGAGCCAAATGAGTAGGTGCCAGCCTGTGGCCCTCGCTGCCCCCATTTTGGGCAGCTTTCACTGCTGTCTATTTCGGGCGCCCACCAATGGTTCCCTCCTGGGTCCGTTTCTTGAGTTTGCCTTTTGCCCAAGGTTCCCGGTTCCCTCGAATTTGAGGGTGAGAGGTAAGGGCGGGGTCCTCAGAGCCCCTAGGTTTGAGGTCTCAGCTGCCTGCTGTCCTCTGCTGCCCCTCCCTGCAGCCACAGGAGGGCACAGGGTGGCCCCGGCGCCGCCGCTCACCCCAGCGCCCACTCTCTTCCCCAGGGAGGCCCTGGGGGTGGTGCTGCACAAGGACTCCAAGTGGTACCAGCAGTGGAAGGACTTCAAGGAGAACAACGTGGTGTTTAACCGTGAGTGCGGGTGTCTCGGAGGGCAGGTGACCGTGTCCCGGGCAGTCGGCGGACCGCAGGGTGATCCTGCATTGGGCACAAGACAGAGCCCCGTTTTGCAGAGGAGGAGGCCAGGGTCAGAGTGGGCCGGTCACTTCTTTGCGGTCACCTGATGGTGCGGTGTACATTCTGCCGCCAGAAGCCAGGCGCTCCCTCATAAGCACAGTCAGGGCCCCGAAATGAGCCGCAGGCCCCTGTCCCTTGTCCTGTGCGGACTGCTAGAGGCCTGTGTTTCCTTTGTAGTGAAAGCAACAGCCAGCAGGGTGGCGGCCCATAACTTACACAGCCCCGCTAGGGCCGCAGCTGAGGTGCCTCTGCGCCTGGCCAGGTAGGTGGGCAGGCAGCGGTCCCCAAGCACAGATGAGGATGCAGGCCCACAGCCGTCCCCTCCCTGACCCCACCCGTCAGGGTGGATCCCGCAGGGGCCACAGAGAGCCCCTGGAAGCTGTGAGGGAGGGCCGTGTTTCTGGAAGGGGCCCCTTCTCCAGCACCTGCCCTGTCATCCACAGGGTTCTTCGAGATGAAGATGAAGTATGATGAAAGCGACAACGCGTTCATCCGGGCATCCCGGGCCCTTACGGACAAGGTCACCGACTTGCTGGGTGAGTGAGTCATCCCCGGACCCCGAAGGCTGGTGGTGGGGTGGGGTCCCTGGCCCTCCCTAAACTCCCGGCTCCGCTCCCTGCAGGGGGCCTGTTCTCCAAGACAGAGATGTCGGAGGTGCTCACAGAGATCCTCCGGGTGGACCCAGCCTTTGACAAGGACCGGTTTCTGAAGCAGTGCGAGAACGACATCATCCCCAATGTCCTGGAGGTGGGTGCCGCGCCCCCAGGAACCCTCCCAGGTGGCAGGTCCTGGCTCCACCACCTCCCCCGCCCCAGCCGGCACCCTGGGTGCTGCCAGGGAACTCCGCTGCCGAGGCTGTTTTCTGAGGAGGCTGGTTGCACACGGGCTCCTGCCTGGCTGCAGCTGCCCCAGAGCTATGCCCGAAGCCCTTCCTGGGCCTTCCTGGCACCTCCAGTGCCTCCAGGTGCCGTTTCCCTCACTCCTCCTGCCTGAGGCTGTTGTTCCCTTGAGGTTGCTGGGAGCAGCTGCTGGAGTCTAGGGTTTATTTCAGGTGCCTGGAGCCCCTCGCCCCTTGGGAGAAGTGGGCGTCCGTCCTCAGACATCAGAGCTGGCCCCAGGCCACCTCTGACCCAGACCTGCAGCCAAGGGGGTTCCCTCACGGTGCCGTCCCTGGCAACCAGAGCCTCGTTGGGCTTATAGATGAGGGTATCTTGCTCAGGGTCATGCTGCAGCCCGCCCCCTACAAGCCTCTGCCTGAGGTCGGCGGCCTCTTGTCTTCCCTGCTGCCTCTGCCTCTCTGCAGCCCCCAGGATGCGGGAGGAGCCTGGACACCTTCGGCCCAGTCGGGCCAGGCCTCTGGAAGGCCGTTCATGGGACTCTCCATCCTCGGCCCGGCTGGCCGCCGCCCAACGTCCCCTTCCTCCTCCAGTTTCCCGTATCCTTCCCGCCACTTCAGGCAGGGCTGGGAGGCGGTGCAGATGGGCGCCATGCCCCAGAACAGCAGCCTGAGCACCGCGGCGCCTTCCGGGCTGGGTGGTGGGAGCCGAGTGTTCTGGCCACCCGCCCCCTGCCGCTCACAGTTTTCACCACCAGCATCCGGCGCCTTCCCGCTCTTCTCCCCGCTTCAGGCGCCTCCCTCCCCCGCATCGGATCCGGCCCAGGCTCTGGGATGCTGTGGAAGCCGCTCCCAGCCCAGTCCCGCCCCCTGCAGCCCACCCTTCCTCTCGCTGCCCCCAGCCGTTAGGAGGCAGCCGGTCCCATGGTGGGCCTTGCAGTCCGAAACGTGGTCCCGCGGGGGACAGAGGACATGGGCTCACTGCGGGAACCGGAGTGTGGGTCCTCATCTCCCTGGCTCGGATTCCTGACCAGGCTGAAAGCTGGGTCCCCAGCCAGACCCCCGGTTCCATGGGGTCCCCCCCGGGTGCCTCCTGGGTGGTCATCCGCAGGCTGCCCTCCGCCTGTGCCCAGGCCAGAGCCAGGCACACCAGCAGGGACGGGCCTGGGGAGGGACACCCAGTGCCATAGCTTCACCTGTGCCCCACAGGTGGCAGCTGGGGGTGTCCAAGGAAACCCCCCGCACCACTGGAGAATGTTCCTAGGACCTCGCCTGCCGCCTGAAAAGCCCACTCTTGTTCTGGTGCTTATTTTCCCCTTCCTTTTTAGGCCATGATTTCTGGAGAGCTTGACATTCTCAAAGACTGGTGCTATGAAGCTGTGAGTACTTCCTTTTTTTTTTTTTTTTAAGGCCTAAAAAATCACCATGGAGAAGTTCCATTTCGGTGGCTCCGTTAGGGTAGCTCCCGACAGGCAGGACCTGGGCTCCTGGTGGGGGGATCCTCACGTCTCACCCTCCGAGAGCCTGACACCGCCCGCCCCGACCTTCCATTCCTCAGCGTGTTACACATCTGGGCTCTCAGGCTGGACACCGGGTCACCCGCCAGTCCTTTGCTCCCAGACTGTAAACTCGGTTAGGGAGAATCCTTCTCTGGGCTGGTGTCTAAGAGATGGCTGGCTGGGGGTGTCCCCTGGGCCTGTGAAAGATCACAAAGCCGCCAATTTTACTGGGCCTTTTTTTTTTTCCTCCAATCTTAAAATAATTTTGGTTAGGTCTGGGCCACCCCATGCCTTCAATCCCAGCAGCCCAAGGTGTTTGAGCCCAGGCATTCAAGACTAGCCTGGGAAACAGCAAGATGTCGTCTCTACAAAAAAAATTTTAAAGTTTTTTTTTTTTTTTTTTTTTTTTTTTTGAGGCGGAGTCTGCTCTGTCGCCCAGGCTGGAGTGCAGTGGCGCGATCTCGGCTCACTGCAAGCTCCGCCTCCCGGGTTCCCGCCATTCTCCTGCCTCAGCCTCCCGAGTAGCTGGGACTACAGGCGCCGCCACCACGCCCGGCTAATTTTTTTGTATTTTTAGTGGAGACGGGGTTTCATTGTGTTAGCCAGGATGGTCTCGATCTCCTGACCTCGTGATCCGCCCGCCTCGGCCTCCCAAAGTGTTGGGATTACAGGCTTGAGCCACCGCGCCCGGCCTACAAAAAAAAATTTTAAATGAGCCAAGTGGCCAGGCACAGCAACTCACGCCTGTAATCCCAGCACTTTGGGAGGCTGAGGCAGGCGGATCACTTGAGGTCAGGAGTTCGAGACCAGCCTGGGCAACATGGTGAAACCCCATCTCTACTAAAATAAAAAATTAGCCAGGCATGCTGGTGCACGTCTGTAATCCCAGCTACTGGGGAGGCTGAGGCAGTAGAATTGCTTAAATCCAGGAGGCGGAGGTTGCAGTGAGCCAAGGTCGTGCCACTGTACTTTAGCCTGGGCAACAGAGCAAGATTCTGTCTCCAAAAAAGAAAAAAATGAGCCAAGCGTGGTGGCAGGCACCTGTTGTCCCATCTATTAGAGAGGCTGAGGTGGGAGGATCACTTGAGCCCAGGAGGTCAAGGCTGCAGTGAGTCATCGCACCACAGCACTCCAGCCTGGGCGACAGAGCAAGATACTGTCACTAAGGAAATGATAGGCCGGGCGTGTTGGCTCACGCCTGTAGTCCCAGCACTTTGGGAGGCTGAGGTGGGCATATCGCCTGAGGTCAGGAGTTCCAGACCAGTCTGGCCCACATGGTGAAACCCCATCTCTACTAAAAATACAAAAATTAGCCAGGCCTGGTGTTGGACACCTGTAGTCCCAGCTACTCAGGAGGCTGAGGCAGGAGAACTGCTTGAACCCAGGAGGCAGAGGTTGCAGTGAGCCGAGATTGCGCCACTGCACTCCAGCCTGGGTGACAGAGCGAGACTGTCTGGGAAAAAAAATACAAAGGAAATAATAATTTTAGTGAAAGAGAGTCCCAGGAGAGGCGATTGCAGCCGTGAAGCAAAATGAGGTCTTCAGGGGCCTGACTGCCGTTTCTGATGGCTGCAGTGGCCTGGGGTGCATGCTGGGGCAGGGGGTCAGGGAGAGTGTGGGTCTCCCACATGACTGTGGGGGCTGGGAGCCAAGTGGGGTTTGAAGGCGTCACCCACCCCACTTCCCAGGCCAGAGCAGAGTACTGTGCTCACCTCCCAGGAGTCGTGAGAATGAAGTGTGATCACAGAAACCAGGGCAGTGCTGGCCTCGGGCCAGAGGGAACCCGCAGAGGTAACCCTGGTAACCAAACAGCCCCTGGAAGGGTGGGGGGAGCTTTCATCGGTGACCCGGGGCCGCCACCTATGGGGGCGCAGGTGAGGTTATGGCACTGGGTGCCCCGCCCCAGGCCCTGGGGAGCCTCCAGGGCATGCCGAGTTTCCCGGACCCATTAGCTGCCCTCACGACACGATCCTGAAACATAGATCCAAACAAAACATCGATGGTCTTCCCACACAGGAAGGAGCTGTGTGTCCTGATGAGGCCCCAATTGCTTCTCGGAGTCAAAGCTTGGGGTTCGGGGGCCACCAGCAGCACCGCGTACCTGGGGTCCGGTCCAGCTGTCTGCCCCATCCCTGGCAGCCTCCCTATCCCTGCCCCAGTCCATCCCCGTAGGGCTCCCAGCTTCCGTCTCCTCAGGCCACCTCATCTCACCCTATTCGCTCCCCGACCTATGTGTTTCTTTCCCCGGCTGCTTCGTATTCAGCGATCCAGAATCTTTCTTGGCTGATTCTATTCTGCACCCAGCTCATAAACAACTTGGGAAAAGCAGAGGAGAAGATGTCAGGTTTTCTTTTTCAATACTCCCCTGCATGGTGACTAATCCAGCAGGCATTTATGAGTTGCGATGTAGATTTTTTTTTTTTTTTTGGCGTTTTTTTTTGTTTTGGTGTTTTTTGTTTTTTTTTTTGTTTTTTGTTTTGTTTTTACCTTGGGACCATTGCGCCACAGCTGGCTCGCTTTGCCAGGGAGCTGCTGGTGCCCTGGAAACAGCTGAAGCTCCAGCCACATCCACAGAAGTGTTTTTAAAATGTCACCTTTAAGAAACCGAACAAGTAGGATTGGCTCTGGGTTTTTTTTTTCCTCCCCTCCGCGGATCAGTCATTTCCATAAAAAGTAGATGCTATCGGAACATCTCATGGTTTCATGCCAAGCCCAGAGAAACCTCCAGTGAAAACGTGTCTTGGGGGCTGCTTCCTGTGCCTGGCACAGGCGCAAGGGGGTTGAGGGTGACACTGGGGGCTGGTCAGTGACAGAGGCAGCCTCGGGCTGAGGACAGATCCTAGAAGAGGCGTTTGATCTCAGGCCAAGATTCAGAGTGTGGTGAATATGGAAGTATTAAAGATCAGCCAAGGGGCTGCCAGCTTAGCTCTGGGAGTGGATTTGGGATTTTGTTCCAAGAGAATCACCCACTTTGCTGATTAATCCTGTTTTCATTGGGTCATCTGGATAGAGTGTGGTTCCCAGGAGAGGGAAATGTGTGATCTGGGCCAGTAAGTGGGTGGCACCTGCCTTCCCACTTGGACTTGGGTTCTTGGCCTCTGCCATTGCTGGCTGGCGGCAGGGCGCCAGGGCATGTGGGCAGCGGCTCTGTGTGGCGTGGCGCCTGTCCTGGCGGCATCACGCAGACGTGTCGGCCTCTCATTGCAGACTTACAGCCAGCTGGCCTACCCCATCCAGCAGGCCAAGGCGCTGGGTCTCCAGTTCCATTCTCGCATCCTAGACATTGACAACATTGACGTAAGCACCTCTCTCAGTAGGGGCCCGGGCCACCATCGGGGGTGGGAACTATGGCCCAGACAGGGCCCAGGAGGTGGCCTAGCCAGGGGCTGGGGGCCATGTGCTGATCCGAGAGGTCTTGGGCTTGTCCCAGGGGAGGGTCTCAAGGGAGGCCTGGGCCTGGTCTGAGAGGCAGGGCCCACGGGGAGGGCCTGGTGCTGGAGCCTTCTCCCAGCAGGGCCGTCCTCTGAGGCCCACCTCTCGGCCCCTCTGCAGCTGGCCATGGGCAAGATGATGGAGCCGGGGCCGGTGCTCATCATCACTTTCCAGGCACAGCTGGTGGTGGTGGTCCGGAACCCTAAAGGCGAGGTGGTGGAGGGCGACCCGGTGAGTGCAGAGCGGGACGGGGCCGCCTGTCCCCAAGATCTGTGTGTGGCCATCCGGCAGGGACCCCAGCTCAGAGCCCCGAAGCCTTGGGACTGGGTGGGGATGCGGAGAAACTCCTGGGCCAGAGTTTGGGGTTGAGGGAGGTTGGAGACCAGCAGACCTGTCTTTTTTTTTTTTTTTTTTTACTGAGGCCTGAGTGGTTCCTGAGTCTAGGCAATTGTGCTGGCCTCTGCTCCCAGCCCCCCGGGGAGGTTGCCGGTGGCTCCTGCCCCACAGAGCCTGGCCCCTCCCAGAGCCGCCTGGGTTGTCTCACCCCTCTCAACGGCACCCTTCCCACCCCACCCTGCAGGACAAGGTGCTGCGGATGCTGTACGTGTGGGCGCTCTGCCGAGACCAGGACGAGCTCAACCCCTACGCCGCCTGGCGGCTCCTGGACATCTCAGCCTCCAGCACCGAGCAGATCCTCTGAGTGCGGTGCCACAGCCAGGGAGCCCCGGGCTGGGTCATCAGGCACAGAGGCACCACGACACCCCCTGCAGCAACTCCAGACCTCTGGGAACAAGACTGCGGGCTCTGCCCCCAGCTCTGCCAGAAGAGCTGCAAGACCAGCTGGCCGGGGAGGGGACAACGGGCTGCTGCAGGTGCCTGGCAGCTGGAGACACTCCCCCCAGGGCCGGCCCCTGCCCTGTTGCTCTGCCCTGCAGGGGTCCCGGTGCCTGGTCACCTGGGGTGCACACAGGCCACCCAGTGCCAAGAGGCCCCAGGGCCCAGGGACTCCCTCCACAGCAGGGTGGGACCCGGGACCTACTGCTCAGTGGCCCGCTGGCCACGTCAGCTAAGCCACTTTAGGTCCATTTTTTATTTTAACAGTGCTCTTCCATTCTGTGCGTAAGCCCGAGATTTGGAAAGAATAAAACCGAATTGCAGAAGAGCAGCTCCGGAGTCTGAAGTGTCTTCTCTGGCGCGGGAGTGGCCGGGGCGAGGGTGGGGGTGGGAGCGGGCGGCTGCTCTGGGAGGCGGTCAAGGTCGAGCGAGGAACTGCAGCCGCAGTGGGTGGACGCCTTGCCCAGGGCTGGACCCTGGGTTGGAAGACAAGGCCCGTGACAGACAAAACTAGGGGGACTTACTCATCCCAGTGACCTGCCTGGGCTCTCTTGAGGATTGAGGTCCCCAGGGCCAGGGGAGCTTGAGTGCCCATATGAGTGTTTTAGGGACACTGAGGTCCCCCCACAAACGGAGTCTGGAGTGAGGTCTATCACAGAGGAGAATGCAGGCACAGGGCAGGCTGAGGGGGCCGAGGTGCCAGTGGAGGTGGGAGTGGCAGCTGCCCACGCCCTGGCGAGGTCTTGGGTGCTCGCGGGTCCCCGGGGCTGGAGCTCCGTCCTCCCGCAGGCCCGGGCGGGGTCGCGGGCTCGCGCGCCGCTCCCTGCGCAGCCTCCGCCCCCCGCAGCCCCGCCCCCCGCGGCGGCCCCGCCCCCGTCGCCATGGGAACAGCCGCGGCGGCCCGGCTCGCGCGCTGCTCGCCTGCCTCGGTCTCCGCCGCTCCAGGGGCGGGTGGGGTGGGCTGAGTCGGAGCCCGGGCCGCCGCCGCCGCTGCCGAGGAGAGGCCGAACGCGGAGCCGGCGCCGGGGTCCCGGAGAGAGCGCGGCCGCCGGGCGGTCGGTCCCCGTCCGGGTCGAAGCCAGGGTGAGGGGCGCGCCGGGGCGGGGGCGGTGGGGGAGGGGGTCCCGGGACGCCGAGAACAAAGGGAGCGGGGGGCAGGGGCCGCGGGGACCGTCCCCACGCCGCGCACCCGGGCCGCGGCCGGTCGTTCGCACCTGTTGTGTGCGGCCCGGGCCGGGCCGGCTCCCTTTCCCGGCTCTCCGCGCCCCCACCTGCGCGCACGGCCAGAGTTGGGTCCCCGCGTGCTGGTGGCGGCGATCCGGCGGGCCAGGCATGGGCGTAGCCCGGGGACCGAGGCGCGGGCGGGGGATGGGGTCGGGCACGGTAAGGGGGGCGGCGGCGGCGGCGGGAGGGGGCGAAGCGGAGGAGGCGCGGGAGGGAGGGCGCAGCCTCATCCCAGGCGCCCCGGGCGGGTCCCCTCCTCCGCAGGGCGCGCGGCGATGTGAGCCATGAGCGCGACGTGGACGCTGTCGCCGGAGCCCCTGCCGCCGTCGACGGGGCCCCCGGTGGGCGCGGGCCTGGATGCGGAGCAGCGCACAGTGTTCGCCTTCGTGCTCTGCCTGCTCGTGGTGCTGGTGCTGTTGATGGTGCGCTGCGTGCGCATCCTGCTCGACCCCTACAGCCGCATGCCCGCCTCGTCCTGGACCGACCACAAGGAGGCGCTCGAGCGCGGGCAGTTCGACTACGCGTTGGTGTGAGGGGCGCGGCGCCCCCCAGCCGGCCCTGCACTGGGTCTCCGAGGGTCGGCCCTGCGGGGGGCGCCGCGGGGCCAGGACTGCGTTCAGGATCCCGCCTCGGAGCTCCCTGCCCCGGGTAGAGGGGGAGGGAGTTGGGAGAAGCCCAGCCGTTCCCCCTCGAGACCCCTCCCATGTCCCCTCCTGGCCTGGCCGGAACCCCACCTCGTGCCTTTATCCGCCCTGTCCCTTCCTCTCTGCGCATCTCACCCGCCCGGCTGGCCCCCGCCCCCCGCCCCCCGCCTCTGAATCCCAGGAGGGAGGAGGACCCCCGCACCGCCCCCTCCCCAGCGTGTAAGTGGCTCTGCTATTGTGCTTTCCTGGAAGTGGGGACCCCCTTGTCCCTCCTCCCTCCCCTGTTGTCTGGCCGTCGTCAACCCCACCTTGACTGAGTGTTGAGCCCGTCCTTGGGCTCTGGCCCTGCGGGGCAGGCTCTCTCGGGCCCACGGGGCAGACGCTGCATACCAATTTGGCCTGCACCGCCTGTCCCGGAGACGGAGCCCGAAGGCCTGCCATGGCGGCTGTGTCGAGGATGCGTGGCTCCTGCCGTGGCGGGAGAGTGTGGGCAGGATCATTACTGCCCCCAACCCGGGCCCCTGGACAGGTCAGCGCGCCCTGCCCCGGTGCCCACCGCTGCCCCCCATCCGCCCTCCTGCCACTTCCCGCCGACTCCCCTGCCGTGCCTCCTGCAGCCCTCCCATGCCGTTCTACTCCCTGCCTCTGAGCCGAACATGATAATAAAAGCTATTATTGAGCGCTTACTGCATGCCAAGCAGCGTGCTGAGTTGACACCTCCTGTTTATAGCCTATCTCCTCTTCGGGATGGTGAGAATCAGCCAGGCCCCGTTAGCATCCCAATTCTACAGGCCAGGAGACCGAGGGCCGGCAGCTCCAGTGACTTCCTTGCCCCATAGTCACATGGCTAGAGTCTGGTAGGGCTGGAAGTGGAAGCTAGGTCTGGCTTCTGCATGTTTTTAAAGCTTCCCAGGACTGCAAAGACACCAAGATCACAGGCCCTTTCACCGGCTTTGCGGGGCTGATGTGTAACCATCTCGATATCCCCAGCTCCCTCCCTCCCCTCCACACACAATTCTGTTGACCTGGGGAGGCGCTGGGGGTGGTGAGAGAGAGTCAGCCCTGCGGGGAGCTGGGAGGAACACCCTCCACCAGCCCTGTAGGGAGGCTCCGACGACTGTACCTGCAGCCTAAGCCTCCTCCCCCTGCCCACCACCGTTGGCAGCGTTTGTGAGTCTGGCGTGGTGGAACGGTGACCACGGACGGAGCGGGCTGGCTGCGCTCCAAGGCCCTCCCAGGAGATGTGCAACCCCCGGGGAGCCGTGTGCAGTATGTGTGGGGAGGAACGAGCGTTTCTATAAAAGGAAGGCTGGGTGAACGCAGACTCCGCGAACAGAATTTTACCCACTTGGATTACTAGCTGGGCGTAGGGCGCGGTGCTGTGGGAGGACATCTGCTTCCCTCCCTCGGACCCGACCCCCAGTCCACACCCACAGGGCAGGTGAGGCTGATGGAGGGAGCCCCAAGCGGGGACCCAGCACCCCCAGGGATTTGAGGTCAGCCCTGACTCCAGCGCCCCTCCCTCCCCGCCTTCTAGGAATCCTTGAGGTCCCAAGGATACCCCAGGGGACACATTCCACTCCCACCAGCCTCCTGCCACTTGGGACAGCCCACCCCTTTCTTCCTCTCTAGCCCCCTAGCCTGGGGCTTGACTCCTTCCGCCGGGCCACCCCCACTCTGCTGCCTTCTCCCCTCCACCAGTGCCATGTGACTTTGCCCTACTCTGAAACCCATCCCTGACACCTGTCCCCAAGGTACCCTGCTGGCTCTCCCCTTCCCATCCACACTTGTCAGCTCTACAGTAACCCAGGGGCTCCTCACCCCAGGCCTCATCAGACCAGACAGCTGGCAGCTCTCCTCCCTGGCACACACCCCAGCCCTGTGACCCCAAGCTCTGACACTTCAGGGGCCCCACTTCTATCTTTAAGTCACAGGCGAAAGAGAAAGAGAATAATGAGGACTTTATTCATGGTCACAGAATACCCCGGGGAAGGGGAAGGAGCTGGCAGCAGGTAGTAGTATCCACCACTGGTCAGTTGAAGAAAGTGAAGATGAGGTACAGGAAGGGGAAACGTGTGAGAGCGTTTACGGTGTGCAGTGCCAGCTGTGGCCCCCAGCAGACAACAAGGCACAGTGGGGCTTGGGGACTGGGGGAGGCCAGCCCTGTCCGCCTGTCCTGGAGGTCGGAAGGCTTGTGAGTGGAGTCCCGTAACCCCCACCGAACCCCCGTACAACGGGGGTTCCATTTCTGAAACCCCCAAAGTGTGGGGCGTCTCAGAGGCCCCACAGCTGAGCGTCATCTCAGGGACATTCCCACACGACGGGATCCTCGGAAAGAGCCAGTGCCAGCCGAGCAGAACCGAGGGCCAGGGCAGGGGGCCTGGTGTGCCTCCTGCCCGCCATGCCCCTCACCTGGCAGGGGTGGCTGCCCGACCCAGAAGCTCCAGGGGCACCAGGAATGGGTTCAGGGGACAGATCCCAGCTGCTTGCCAGGACGATTTCAATTCGCTGGGCTCGGCCTTCTTGGTGGCTGGGGGGGTCTCCTCTGGTGCCTTGGAGCCAGCCCCGTCCCCCTCGGCAGCAGGCCCCAGGCTCCCTCCAGCGGGGCTGGGCTGGGGGGCTGTCAGACGTAAGTACGTCTCCGTCATATGCTCAACCAAGGCTGTGCAGGGCAAGAGGGGCAGCTCCTCTGGAAGTGACATGAGCAGGTCGAGGACCACAGCCGACTCTAGTGACGGATGGAGGGGAGGGGTAAGGAGACACCCTTACCTGCCGCCAGGGACCCCGATCCCTCTGCCTCTGCGCCCCCCCTCATCCTTCTCACCAGCTGCTGAGAGCTCAGGGCTGCGGCCACTTCGGGAGAGAGAGGACAAGTACTTGTAGATCTTCTCAAAGTCCACAGCGAAGTCGTCTTCAGTGGAGGGACCAGCCGAGGACGCAGATTTCTCAGGGGCAGGGTCAGAAGTCTCGGGGGTGGAGCTAGGTGCCTTGGGGGCGGAGCTAGGTATCTCAGGGGCAGAGTCGTCCTGCCCTCCAGGGGCGCTCAGGAGCAGTGGCTTTCCACGGGCCTGCGTGGGCTTGGGGGGCTTGGAGTGCAGGAGGGTGACCGGTTCCGTGGCCGCGATGGTGAGCACCTGGCAGGCAGAACGATCAGGGAGTAAGGGAAGCTAGAAAGTTCTCTCACCGTCTACACATTCCCCCATCCTCTCGGCCACCCTAAGATGCTGCTCAGACAGGAGATGGCCTCAGAGCCAGGGACACTGAGGCTCGAGGTGTCCAGTGACTGATGGAGGCCACAGAGCTGGCAACAGGAAGGGCCCAGGGCCCAGGTTCACATGATTTGGCCCAGTGACCCTGTCCTCTGGGACGCCCCGACCTGCCTTGGGGGATGGCCGTACCTGCGAGAAAGCCACTGCCAGGGCTTCCTCCAGCGGCCCTGTTATCTTCTCAGCCAGATCCGTCCAGACCTGAGTGAAGCCAGAGGTACAAGGTCAGCCCAGGGATCAGCCTGCAAGGGCCCCCCAAGCCCTGCCCCTCCTGGGGATCCCCTAATCAGGTTATCCTCCACAACTCCCACCTACGCACCAGGGACCTGCCCTGGACAGCCTCGCCCTGTTCATCTGCCTCACCTCTATGGGGGCTGGGGGCTGTGCCTCCCGGCGCCTTGGTCCCTGAAGGCCACCCGGATGCACCTTTTGAATGGCCTCCCGGGCTACACGGCCCTTGAGCTGCTGGAGGAAGACCCGGATCTAGAAAGGAAAGAGGAGGAGGCCGAATGAGGCTTCTATGAGCTCAGGGCTGCAGCAGAGAAGCCAAAGCCCGCTCCCTTGCCTGCTCTGGGCCCCGCTACTGCGCCTTAGTCTCCTGCTAGCCCGGTGTTAGGAGTCCCAGTGACCGCCAAGGCCCCTACCCCATCCAGAGTCTGACCAGCTACCTAAGGAAGGTGTAAGGCCCAGACCAGTTCCGGCTCCTTCACGCAGCCCAGGGCCCAACCCTATGCTGGCTACTACCCCGTTCAACTCTCTTCTTCGTCCCCTCTTCCCCATTCCCTGACTCTCACTTCAAGCTCGTATCCTGTCCAACAGCATGCGTTGCTCTTCAAGACTGGCCTCGGCTGCATCTTACTCCCAGTTCATTCCGCCCGTTTCGCCCTCGCCCCACCCACGCATTACTCCGAAGCTCGCCCCGCCTTTAAAGCTTGCACTCATCCCACCCACGCCCCACCCACGCCTTACTCCCAAAATGGCCCCGCCCTTAAGTCTTGCTCTTATCCCGCCCAAGCCCCGCCCCCAGACTCGCCCTGCCCTTCAAACCACTCACCCACTCTCCAACCCTCAGCGGCACGCACGCCCCGCCCCCAGAATCGCCCCGCCCACGTCTTGCTCCCAAGCTCGCCCCGCCCCTAGGCCTTGTTCTCTTCCCGCCCACGCCCCGCCCCTCACCCAGCCCAGGCTCACCCACTAACGCCCCGCCCCTCAGCCCCACGCCACAGCTCCGCTCGCTTACATTCCTGGCCCCGCCCCGCCGGCTCCTGCCGCAGCCCCGCCCACTCTACGCCCTACCCTAGCCCCGTCTCCAGCCTGGTTTTGGTCCGGAGAACCGCATCTCACCTCAGCCTCGCTCCGGCCCTGCAGCTCCCGGGCCAGCTCGGCGGCGTCCGGCTCCGGCTGGCCCTGCCGCGCCTGCAGGAGTCTCACTAGCTGCCGCTTCTCGCGAGCGCTCCAGGTCGTGGGACCGGTCACCTCGCCCAGATAGCGCGCCGGGGCCGCTCGCCGCCTGGGAGGTGGCTTCATGCCGGTCAGAAAGACGCAGGCGCTGTAAGGCAGGTCTCCGGCGGGCGGAGCTACGGGGGCCGCCGAGGCCAGAAAGCGCCACGCGGAGGCGGACGCACGTGGGGGTGTGGCTCCGCCTTTGCAGGCCTGGGGACCCGCCCCAATGGAAGTGAAGGGGGGGGATCAGCACTGGAACTGGGGCGGGGCCAAGGAGACCCTCAGCCTGCACTTTATCTCATTTATGAAGTGGGGACGACACCTTGGATCTCGTGCCCTCCTATTGCTGGACTAACTCATGAAGCTACTACTGTGTACTTTGCTTCTCGCAGAGGGGTGGGTTCTGGCTGAAAGGTCAAGTCCGAAGATCCAGTCGTGGTCAAGAAGCTGGGCTCTGGGGTCAGACAGGCCTGGGGACTTTGGGCAAGTGATTTAGCCTTGCCTAGCCTCAGTTTCCTCCTCTGTAGCCTGGGGCTGATAGTCCCACTCTTGCCTGTATAAGGCAAGAGAGATTTAAGGAGCTCTAGACTAGACTGACAATCTAAGGAGACTGGAGCAGGAGTAGACCGGAGCAGAGGCAGAAGATCGAGGCCGAGCAAGGGCAGGGTCCGGGCGGGGGTAGTGGAGAGCAGAGAAGGCCTGGCTTGAGGAAGATCGCAGGAGGCAGATGGGCAGTTGTCCGGGTAAGGAGAAGAGGGAGGGGGAGGGTTTATTTTAAACTTACTCTTGTGGGGTTGGGTGTCGCTTTTTTTTTTTTTTAGGTGGATTTTTGCTCTTGTTGCCCAGGCTGCAGTGCAATGGCGCGATCTCGGCTCAGTGCCACCTCCGCCTCCTGGGTTCAAGCGATTCTCCTGCCTCAGCCTCCCAAGCAGCTGGGATTATAAGCACGCGCCACTACGCCCTAGCTAATTCTTTTTTTGTATTTTTTTTAGTAGGGACGGGGTTTCACCATGTCGGCCAGGCTGGTCTGGAACTCCTGACCTCAAGTGATCCACCCACCTCGGCCTCCCAATGTGCTGAGATTACAGGCGGGAGCCACCGCGCTCGGCCAGGTGTCGCTTTCTGTTTGAGACAAAACGCCCTAGAGTCTCCCATGACCCGGGAGTGCACACGGGTATGCGGGGGTATGGGCCCCGCCCCCAGGCTCCACCTCTCTAAATCAGGATTTCTCAGGAATCCTCCCCAAGTCCTACTCCCAGCTTTCTCCCCAAGCCTCCCCACCAATCTCCCACCCCGCACCTTGCGCGCTCACTGACTGCACCAGAACTTAGCCGGTCAATCCAGAGGTTTATTTTGAGCACAGGTGGGTGGGAGGGACGGGGAGGAGAGAAGCACCGGGGTCGTGGCCCCATCAGGTCCGAGGTCCAGGGAGGCGGGTCCGGTCCTGTTGGTCCTGGTCCCGAAGCGGTAGCTGGGTGTATCTCCGGACCACGTTGGGGGCGCACCATCTCTGGGAGGGGTGGCTGAGGCTCAGCAAGAGAGGGGACGCTACGCGGGCCACCTCCCTTCCCAGCAGACCACTGACCTCTTCCATCGGTCTGTATGCCGGGGTGAGAGTGGGAGCCGGGTCTGAATGCTGAGTTCTCCTCGTGTAATGCCTCTCCCCACCTAATGCTCCTGGCTGGACCCACTGCCTGAGTTCGAATCCAAGCTCCACCCAGTATTGACTTTTGACAAGCTACTTAATTCAGAGAATGCCTCATTATTCTCGTCTCTAAAATGGAGATTATAATAGTGTCCGCCTGGAGGTTTAGGGGATTAAGTTAGTTCATAGGCGTAAAACATTGACAACAGCAGGGGGCAGTGGCTCACGCCTGTAATCTCAGCACTTTGGGAGGCCTAAGCGGTAGGATCACCTGAGGTCGGGTGTGCCGGACCAGCCTGACCAACATGGAGAAACCCCATCTCTATTAAAAATACAAAATTAGCCGGGTGTGGTGGCGCATGCCTGTAATCCCAGCTACTCAGGAGGCTGAGGCAGGAGAATCGCTTGAACCCGGGAGGCAGAGGTTGCGGTGAGCCGAGATCGCGCCATTGCACTCCAGCCTGGGCAACAGGAGCGAAACTCCCTCTCAAAAACAAACAAACAAACAAACAAAAACCCCAAAAACCTCAGTGCCTGGCACGAACTAAGCGCTAGGAAGCGTCACTGTCATCTCCTCCCTCCCCCAACTCCATCTCCATACCTACCTTCCTCACTGGGGCCTTCTGGGCTGGGGACCGCTGGGCGAGGCTCTCGCGGGCGGGCCGGGAGCCGGGGGCGCTGGAAGTAGAGGCGAGCTGCAGAAGGGCTGCTGCGCACCACGCCAGGCTAAGGGCGGCCTCTGGGGGCTGCTGCGGGCATCGCGGAGGCAGGCCTAGCTAGGGCTGATCAGGCCCCACAGGCGGGATCGCGTCGCCCCGGGTCCCGACGCGCGGGATTAGACTGGGGGCCCGGCTTGGCGGAGGTGGGTACCTGAGTGCGCGCAGACGAGGCCCAGCCCGGCAGCCAGTGCGGCGCCCAGCACGAAGGCTGCCAACACCAGCGCCACCACTGGCGCGGGTTCCAGGGCCGCAGGGGCCGGCGCGGGAGGCTCAGGGCGCACGGCGCGGCCGGGGACACTCTTGGGCGGCCCTGTGGGAAGAGCCACGCTGACTGGTTCCAAGTCCCAGGTGTCCTTCCCACCCCCTTTGCCGCCCCACGGCTCCCTGCGGAGGAGGACTGCGTGCTCACGAGGGGGCGGCCGCGGCACGGTGACCACGATAGGCTGCGTCAGCGTGTGCAGGTGGGGGCCGTCGGCAGCCAGACCCTCGGCGCTGCCACTGCCAGTGCCGGCGCACGCCTCGTCCTGAGGCAGACACTGGGGGAGAGGAAGGTGGGGAAGAGACAGGGACATTAGGGCACCGGGATCGTGGCTCTGGTCCCCAGGGCCCCCAAGTGAGACCTGAGTCCCGCTCTCCACCACAGCCAAGATGGGACCCCTGGAAATCCGGCCCCTTAGGGATCCCTGAGCCCAGCCCCTACTCATACAAGTGGCTAGCCGCCCAGCCCCTAAGGACCCCAAATCCCAGCCCCACAAGATTGCATGGGCCGGGTCTCCCAGCACCTAGCGTGTGAGGCCCAGCACCAAGTTCCCAGAAATGTGTCCCCTGAGTGGTCTTCTACATCCAACCCCCAGCCCTGAAGGATTCTAGAGCTGTCCATGGGTGAACCCAGTGTCCACTCTGTCCCCGGAGAAACTGTCGGCAGAGATGGCCCCTCCTCCCCACCTCTCCCCACCTCCAGATCCTCAGACCCCAAGAGTATCCCCTTTCCACTGCCAGAGTCGCTCGTGCCCAGTGCCCGAAGGACCCCGGCGCCCGGATTCCAAGCTCTGCGCCCGCGCACCCGCGATGGCGGCGGCGGCGTCAGAGGCGCAGGCGCCCGGCGGACTCCCCGGAGGCGGCGGCAGCGGCTCAGCTGGCAGTGCAGGAACTGCACCGAGGCGTTGAAGACCGGGCGCAGGCGGAAGCTGAAACGCGCGGGGCGGGTGGCACCCGGGCTCGGCGGCGGCGGTGGCGGGAAGGCGACAGAGGTGTCGGCGGGGCAGCCCTCGCGCAGCAGAGCCAGGGCGGGCCCCGGGGCCGGGCGTGAGGACGGCGTCACTGAGCAGCGGTGCAGGGCCAGGCCCCAGCGCGGGGAGGGACGGGCCAAGGCCGCCTGGGGGACGGAGGCGCCATCACGGATTGCCCGTCCCCACCGGCCCCCATCCGCCCCTGGTGTCCGCGGGGTCCCCACCTGCACGAACACGCGGCTGTCGGCCGGGACCTCGAGCGGCCCCGCGCGGCGCGGAAAGACGTCCTCTGTGTCAGACAGCTTCAGACTGAAGAGGGGTCTGCGCAGCCAGGGGCCGGGCGCCGCGGGGAACGGGGGTGCTGGCGGGAGGTGGGGGGGAGGGCGGCCCAGAGAGAAAACGCGCGCTGCCCTTTAGACCTCTGGGAAAAGTGACCGTACCACCTCGCCCCCGCCGCCGCCTTTGGAAAAGGGATGCAGTTGCGGCGGCGGATTCACCCATGACGGGCTCCCCGCCACGTTCCCCCTGACGGTGATGTGCCCCCGGCGACCCCTGGGACCCGCACAGCCCAGCAGCTGAGCCGGTTGCAGAGCCATGAGCCCCTAGAGAAGCCTCCGAAGCTGGCGAAGGCCTCCCTGGGGCGGAAGAGACGCGGTGAGGAGCACCCGATGGTGGGGTCCGGCTGGGTGAAGTCAGAGCTCCCCCACCTTCCCCAGGGCTGCTCCTGGGGACGCAGCAGGACCGACGGTTCCCCTTTCTAAGGGGACATAGGTGCTGTCACCAACGAGGAAGGGAAGTGAAGAGGATACTTTCCCTAGAGGCTCTCCTGGGCACAGCCAAAGCCCAGCCAGGCCACCAAGATCTGAGACGCTTCCACCTGTCCAGGCTAAGGCAGCCATGGGGTCCCCTCCCCTCTCCGTGCCCCTACACACACACTGATGTCTGCCTTCAGGAGGTGCTGAGCGGGGTCCCGGTAAAACGGATAATCTCCAAATACGAAAGATGCCTGCACATCCATTTTCCTTGTTTTCTGAGACAAGGTCTCCCTCTATCGCCCAGGCTGGAGTGCAGTAGTGCGAATACAGCTCACTGCAGCCTCCACCTCCTGGGCTCCAGTCATCCTCCTGCTTCAGCCTCTCCAGTAGCTGTCACCACAGACACTCGCCAACATGGCCATAAGGGTTCTATGTTGCCCAGGCTGGTCTGGAACTCCCGGCCTCAAGCGATCCTCTACCCTCAGCCTCCCTAAGTGCTGGGATTACAGGCATGAGCCCCCTCATCCGTCCCCACATACCCACTTCTGAAGAGTGCCTGGGTAGACTGGCCCTCTCCGTGGCTGCAGGGAGCTTTGCCGAAGTGGGGCTGTGAGCCACCCTTGGGATGGAGGACAGAGACCCCATCCCACTCCCCTGCCCCGTCCCCACCCCGAGAGGAGGACCAGAGGTCTAGATGAAAAAGAGTGACACCGGCCAGGCACGGTGGCTCACACCTGTAATCCCAGCACTTTGGGAGGTCGAGGCGGGTGGATCGCCCGAGGTCAGGAGTTCAAGACCAGCCTGCCCAACATAGGCAAACCCTGTCTCTACTAAAAAACACAACAATTAGCCAGGCGTGGTGTTACACGCCTGTAGTCCCAGCTACTCAGGAGACTAAGGCAGGAGAATCGCTTGAACAGAGGAGGTGGAGGTTGCAGTGAGCCGAGATTGCACCACTGCACTCCAGCCTGGGTGGCAGAGCAAGACTCCATCTCAAAAAAAAAAGTAAAGAGGGTGACATAGTGATAGAAGCATGACAGACCAGTCACCTCCCTGCTCATACATACCAGGTGGCCCGCTGGGCAAGGTGGCGATCCCTGGGAGCAGGGCCAGCAGTAGCACGGTGCCCAGCATGCTGGACCAGCTGAAGTCGGAGTGTTCGGGGCCAGAGCAGACACCAGCTGGGCTGCACCCAGGTCCCGCACGTGGGCAGGTGGCCCTGTCCTTGGCCAGGAGGGAGGCAGGGAGCGGGGGTGGCAGACTGAGGGGCTGACACCAGAGCCAATGTCCAAGGCCTGGAGGGATTAAGGGATCCTCTGCTGCCCAACCTGTGGCTAATAGGGGTAGGGGGTCCCTCACACCAGCTGCTTGATATCCATTGGCAAGTCACTACAAACACCTCCCGTTCAGCTCCCAAACCTGCCTCAGTCTCCCCTCAATGCAGAGGCCTCCCCCGACACCCACCCCCTTGCCCCCTCGCCCTGCCAGGCCCATGACACACCACAGACTCGGTGGAAGAAAAGGGAGGGATTTATTCTCAAGCGTCTAAGGGTTTACAAATGTGGGCATTTTGTTTTAAAAAGGGGCAGGGCGCCACTGGCGGCCTGAGGAGGGGTCCACTGGCTGGTGGGCTGGCCCGAGCCACCCTCAGGCCCCTGCCCACCCAGTCCGCCCTCTGCCTGGTCCAGAGGGATGGCTGGTGACGAGGGGGGAGGTCTTGGGAGAGGCTGGGAGGCAGGATCGACTCCCCCAGGGCTCCCCACTTAACACTGAAGGGGGTGGGGGTGGGCGGACACACACTCATAAAACAGAAAATAAAGTTAAATAAAAATAAAACCAGGCAGCCCGGCCTCAGGCCTGTGCTGGTCCTGGGACCAGCCATGCAACCTTCCGGGAATCCGCAGAGGCCCCCATGGCTGGACACGGGAGGAGAAAAGGGCCAGGCCTGTTGGCACCCCCACCCAGCAGACCCCTGGCCCCTGACAAACGGACCAAGGGGCAAGAGAAGGTGGCGTTCCCCGCTGGGGGCAGAGAGAAGATGACGTCTATGACTTTTTAAACATGCGGCGTTTTGTGAATATCATAACAAGAGTCAACAGGCTAGGTGAGAGGAGAGGGATGCTACCTACGCTGCCCCCGCCACAGCCAGCCGGCTTCTGCGCCTTTGGTGTTGGTTTTTCTTTGTGGTTTTACGGGATTTTGTTTTTTTTTTCTTGTTTTTTGTTTTATTTTTTCTTGTCCACTTGATTTGCATGCAACACCCACAAAAAGGAAACACACCCCCTCCTGCTCTGGCCACCCCAGCGGGCTCTGGGGGGCACCTGGCCTGGGCCCCCGGTGCACACACTCGGGCCTTCCCAGTCCTGCACCTCAACGTGGGCTGGGCCAGGTGGGTGAGTGGAGGAACGGCCAAGGGCACGATGGGGGTGACCGCCTCACACCCCCACCCTCAGCCCGGCCCCCACCCCTGCTGAAGCTTGTCATACGTCCTCAAACCCCCATATCCACTCCCTCTGCCCTCGATCCCGGACTCCCTCCGGACCCCTCCCTTGGCCCCGCTCTGTCACCGACTCCCTCCGGTCACCTGCTCTGCGCCATGCCCCGTGCCCACCTTCCCTGAAGGCCATCCTGTGCAGTGAGGGCCCCGCAGACCCTTCCGCACCCCCTGAGGTCTTCAACTCACCCCCAAGCTGTGGCTCCCAGAGACCCCAGAGCAGCGGCCCCAGCCCAGCCCCCCAGTGCCCGAGGGCAGTTGGGGCCACACAACAAGCAGCTAAACGTGACTTTGGTAAAAGTTTCTGAAGGTACCGACAAACCCCATGAGAACAAGCTCTCCTCCCACCACCCCAAACACCCCACCAAGTACAATAAAATACAATAAACTCCAAAAAGGACCCCCTGAGATCAAAGAGAGAGAGAGAGAGAGCGCGCGCAGCCCCATCTGGCAGCAGTGGCAATGCCCACACCGCCTTGCTGGGGGCCGCTGACTCATTGCGCCACGGGAGACCTATGCAGACCCAGGGGACCTGTCAGGAGGTGGCTGGGCACAGGCTCAGGCCAGGAGACAGAGGCAGGGAGGGTGACAGGAGAGCCAGACAAGGACAGAGAGGTAGAGCGGAGGACAGAGGGTGACGGAGGAGAAACAGGTGCGTGGGAGTGGCGAAGGGCACAGCACGCTGGGAGCGTGGTGGCTGCGGGACTCGGGGGCTCTCTCCTGGCCCCTGGGGGCCGCCCCGGCCCAGAGGCTGCGGCTGAATGAACAGCGACTCTGTTCGCCGCCTGCTGTCTTCCGTTCACAGTGTCTGTCGGGGGACGCACACGGCCGGCTTACCCCGGGGTGGGAAGGGCGGGGGCCTGGTAGGCCCGGGGCGGGGGGGTGGGTGGGCACCCCCCACTCTGTCCTCAGCCCTCGGTGGCCGTCCAGGTCCCAGGTCTCCCCTGACAGGCAGCTGGGTGGCCAAGTGGGGAGGGGGGCCTGTGGCCATGCCCCTGGCCCCCTGTGGGGCTGGCCGCCGCCAAGCAGCTACCTGAAGAAGGGCAGGTGGGGCTGGCTCAGGACGCCGCTAGTCCGCGGTGACTCAGTCTTCGCCATGACATCCTTGAACCAGGACGCCACGTCCACCTCCAGCGTCTCGTAGCGCTTGATGAAGCTGTGTTCCTGTGGGCCCGAGGGGGTGGGGCTTAGGAGGAGAGGGTCTTCCCTCCGGGCCTCGCGCCGCTGCAGGGACAGGACGGGGACTGGGAGGGCCCCAGGTACTCACAAGTAGCTTATTATACTTTGGTCTCTTCCTGTGATCTTTAGTAAGGCTAGAGGAAGAGAACGGAAGACAGATGTGAGAGCAGGGCAGGAGGGGATGCTGGTCCCACCCCCGTGGTCAGGCCCTCCCCAAGGAGCCAGCGGTCCCCAAGATGTGTGTGGCGGAAGGAGCTGTGGATGTCCTCAGGACCCCGGCTGACGGCGGGGAGCAACTGTGAGTCCTGGAGCCTCCTGGCTAGGTGGCAAGGGCCTGACTCCGGGGTCAGAGCTGGCTGAGGCCCCAGAAACTTGGGTGGGGCTTCCGAGAGAATCGGACATGGCCCTCCTGCACTTGTAGCTGTGTCCGCTGCAGAAGCGTGCTCACAGTCTCCCACAGCCACCCTGCCAAATGCTGCAGGGCTGGCTGTCCCCTCGGGCAGGTCCAAACCCAGGTCATGGCTCCCCAGGTACCAGCTCCAGCTCCTGTCTGCAGCCACCAGCCACGAGCCCGCCCACAGCCGCATCCACCCATCCCAGGGTGGGGCCTCCATTCCGCTCCCGCCTTGCCTCCCCAGCTGCCCAGAGCAGCGGGCTGCCCCGACCTCCCAAGCGGAGGGAGGGTCTCACCAGTCTTTGACGAAGGACTGGAAGTCCCCCGAGAAGCCCATGTGTCCGGGCAGAAGCGGGGGCTCTTCCTGTAGGACTTTGGTGAGGACCTCAAAGTCCGTCTTGCAGTTCTTGTAGGGAAACTGTCCTGTTGCCAGCTCCACCTGGGAGGGAGATGGGCAGGGCTGGACCGGCCAGGACAGGTTTGTGCTCTCCTCCCTCCGAGTCCCCCAGAAGCCCTCACTCCTGGCTACAGAAAAGGGGCAGGGCCCCAACTCACCAACGAGATGCCCAGGCTCCATACATCGGCCCGGATGTCATAGTCTGGCTTGGTGGGGTCTGGGGGGTCAATGCGCTCGGGCTACAGGAGGAGGAGGAGGAGAAGATGTATCTCCAAGTCTGGGCCGGGCTCCCAGGCC